AGATGCCAAGCACATCGCGACAGCTTTACTCAGATGACAACCGAGTCAGACGACCCAACGCTGAGCTTCCACCACCACCACCGGCTCCGTGTACGAGGCGTCACCATGTCCCTCCGTTCAGACAAGAAAAGCAGCGTTTCCCCAGGGGACAATTCCCCAGTTGCAAACCTGTAGGTGACAGGAGACCTCAGGTAACTTGGCCAAGCTCCCAGCCGGCTGGGAGCACAGGCCATGCTGATGCCCTGGCCAACGACCTCAGGCGATGCTGCTTTATACAGCACGCCCGGGAGGCCTCTTAGCCAGAGCACCCAAAGTATTTCATTTTCAGGCATGTTTTCTAACACCTCTGCTACGCTTCCAAGAGAGGCGGGGAACAGGCAGGAGAGCCTCGGTCCCCTGACACAAAGGCTAGAGGGAAGATCTCCCTCCCTTCAAGTAAGTGCTGTTTATAAAAGGCTGAATTTGAGCATCTCCTAAAATTCGAAGACTTGAATGAGCCTGGCAGGAAAAGCTCCACAGGAGGTGAACAACATGGATTGATGCTACCTCCAGATCCTGTTTCCTTTCTTACTTGTCCTGGGGAGCAGGTGGCTCAGATCGCGCCGCACCTTGCTTCGACACGCTGGGTTCTCATATAGAGATCCCCCTTTTAAAAGGGGCTCGGCTCTCCTCCACCAAACCAAACATGCTCCGAACTTGCAACAGGAACCGAAGTCAAAAGCAAAACAAATCCTACCTGTTTCCTTTTTGAACAAGCTCTTTGATTACCGAGAAGAGAGAGAATCGCTGCTGCTATAGAAACAGCAGCCACCAACCTGGTGACCACGCTTTGCTGCGGGCAGACCTGGAGATTGCTCAAATTGCAAGATGTGCTATGAGCCACGTTCAACTACCGTACCACCCTAAAAGTTGGTTGTATATATAGAAATCTAAAATACCTAAAAATAAGAGCCTCTGCTCTGTTTCAGAACTTTTCAAAGCAGATACTTTTCCCCCAACAGGTACAAGCAGGCAAGAGATGTTGGTAAACACAATACTGGCCAAGCCTGGTTACAACTTGCTCTGTATTTCCTTGTAAAACAAAATCCATTGGAAACTGAGTGCTACTTACCCCACCTCTGCCTAGCTTGGGTGTGGGAAAGGGACCCAGTACCTCCGCACCAAACCTGTGGGTTACAACATTACAAGATAACATCCAGAGTTCAAACAGCAAATACCTAAATCCTCCTGCACTCCCATGGGCTTTAACTGTCCTCCACGGCAATACTGTAAACCAGGGACTACTGAAAATAAAAGATCTCTCCAGATACCAAAGCGCTGATTACTACTCTATAGACATATTTAAAAGTTTTAGTTAAAGAGGGGTTGTTTTGGGAAGCACTCTTTAAATAAAAGCTGAGCAACCAAGTGAAAAAAATTACTGCATTTCCCTAGGAAAAAAACCCCACTCATGTTGTAAATTGCAGTAATTAAAAAAGCAAACAAATAAAATGTATTTATGCAGTGCTTTGAAGAAGAAAAGCAGTTTAAAAAATGAACATGAAGAAACATGTATACATACTAGATTAATTCTTTATGAGGAGTAATTGAATTTGTTGCTCATAATTAACAAATAACTGAAAAGCTGTGATATTTTAAGTGTTTAACTAGAAAAAGATAACAAATTTAGGTATATTTTTACCATCCTTAAATTTCCATGCAAGCTATTTAAAAGAAGCGATTACACCACCACAGAAACCTGACTTTAAGATTATTTCTATAAACTTTTGCTCAGTGTACATCAGCCCTGCCAAGGAAAGCAAACTACGGGGCAGCAGTCAGAGCTCACTGCCACAGCCGATGCTGTCCAAAGTCGGGCAGCCCCCGGGAGGGAATCATGATGCCCTGCGGACGAGGAGACGGAGGGCTGCAGAAACCAGCTCACGTGAGAAGGAATTTGGCATTCACCTGGATGATGCTCAGGTCAAAACATCCGCAGCTTTCAGATGCATGGTACAGCTAACAGCCTGGTTGAACTTGAGCTTTCCAGGGAGCAGAGGAGCAATTTGTGGTGTATTGAGCTCAGTCTAAGAGAAAATTATGCCATAAACTGTTGAACACCAGTAAACGCTTCACGAATACCACAAGATCATCCCAATTACAAATCAGAGACATCCCTGAGTTAAATCTGGGGCTCCCACTCCTGCTTCAGGCTGCAGCAACACCACTGACCTGCCAGAAAAGGGCCACGCAGACCGAGAGGGCTGTATTCAGTTAAGGAAACTCCTGGTAATATCAGAAAGAATTAAAACATTTATTGAGCATAAATATATTACATATACACTACAGATACAGTTAAGTCTTACATACATAGTGTAGTATTTGCAAAATCTATACATTAAAATTGATATGGCAGTTTTAATATAATGCATATGAAATAGTCTAAAATTTACAATACAAGAAAACTTATGATTATTTTTTTTTTTTAAAGTTGAAAAGCTTGGAATGTATGTTCCCATAGTGAGGTAAAAACATTATTTTTTTTTTTTCAATTTAAAGAACTGTGCAAGGATAAGGTTCATACACATTCACTTAGGGCACTTTTCAATCGTGACACTGAATACTGAGCTACCATAGCCAACAAACAGGACTAGAAAACATTTCAAGTTCATAAAGAAAAAGGCAGAACAATATAAAAACATCGCTCTCCTTCCTTACGGGTTTTAAATATTTAGTGTTTCATTCTACCTTTTTTGTTGTTGTTCATAATTTCCTTGAGAGCAGAGAGCCCTCGGGCTGGATTCAATGCCTGATATTGCTGGATCTAAGGGCACAATGATGTACGGGAAAAGAGAAGGCATCAGCTAACGGGGGTCAGCGGTAATGGCAATCAGAACAGGAAGGGTTTAACACCTGTGATGCTTTATTTTCTGGTTAATATATGAATGAATCAAATCACTATGGCAGAATATACAAACTAAAAGAATGTCAAATTAACTTGTTTAAGGCCTGTCCCAACTCCTACAGAATATTTCCTCTGAGAACCTCAGGGTTGGACTGGGCGTTCTCATTAGCGTGATTATAAGGGACAGCAAACGAATTAGCAATGACAGAAATGCTTCAAGTGTAACCGATTGCTCTTCTCTACACTTCTGCTCACTGCTTTTAGTATCATTTGTATTTCAAACTCTCAAAATCGATCAAATCATCTAAAGCAAGGTAGTGTTTTTTTCTTGTTTTTTTCTTTTTTTTTTTTCTTAAAGCAGTTTTTTTAAAAAGGTGTCAAGCTTGGATTTCATAGCAGCACTGCTGAAATAATATTCCAAAAATAAAAAACAGGGAATCTATTCAAATTTCTGGGTTTTCAAACTAGCGGTCTTTTCATTGTCTTAAAAAATACA